TTGTGTGCAGTCCCAGAATGGTGCTTTGTTACTGGAACGCTGAGGGTTAGAGCCTGAGGAAGTTGGGAAAAGCAGGAGGTGGGTAGGTTGGGCCTCTCCACAGGCCCTAGAATGATGGATTCCCAGCAAGTGCTGTCAGACAACAGGGAAGAAAGTCTCAGATGGTTTGCAGGTCACCAGACTCATCCTAGGGGATTGGAGGGGGAGATAATGCCTCTAATGCCTGGCTGTTCTTAAAGGGATTGGCTAAATTTACAGCTTCTAATGCTATTTGTCACTGGGCAGGAGGGAATGGATGCTGGAAGGGCTGGGGCTGATCCAGCTTATTGTCTCTGGGCTGCAGGATGTTGCTGGGTGGACTGGGCTTCACTTTCTTTTGCTTCCGAGCTATAACTCCTAAGGGTGCTGTAGGCTTCCCAAATTCAAGCCAGGCAGACTCAGAGGGCTGGGAAGGACAGATTCCAGCACAAGACCTTTCCCTCTGTGCTGGCTTTCTAAGGAAATCACACAACTCTGGGACCACAACAGTGAGAGGGTGGGTTGTGTGGGCTGGGGAGGGGAGAGGGCACCAGTGTGGGAGAAGGCTCCTTTTCTTCAGAGAACATGGGTGCTTTGCATTTTTGGCCTTAATAATAGGCAGCCAGGCACCTATATGCTGCTACAGTGGCAGCATGGTTGTGATTGGCTGCAGCAGCGGGGCAAGACACCCTGAAACACTCAGCTGGTGCAAGGTCTTTTAACACAGAGATGCAACTCTAAAAGGATTCCCAGATAGCCACAGAGGTGCCTCAGCCTGGCTGCTCTGCAGCCTCTGGGAATCACAAGCAGAGGAGCCCTTGCTGGCCCTTCTGCAGGCTGGGCCTCTGTGCCTTCCACCCTGTGCCCACTCAGCCTGCTCCTCCTGCCTGTGGCAGCCCCTTTAATGTCTTTTACAGCAAAGTGCAATCTCAGCACTTTTCCTACTCCTGCTTGAGACCCTCTTTGTTCCATCCCATCCATCACCTGGCAGGGAGTGAGGGCAGGGCTAGGATCCAGTGCATAGCTGCAGGGACATGTCCTGCCTCCTTCTGCATGCTCTGTGTCCTGGATGGCTGCAACCAGGACAGAGGTGTCCCCTGACACATTCCACACTTCCCTTTCTCCTTTTCCTTCTTTGTTTGATCCCAGTCTTCTTTACCTTCACTGATCATTAAAACAGATGACCCTCCTTGCTGGCTCTCAGCCCAGCTAGTGCCCCAGCTGTGTGGGGATTTCCCATCAGCCCTTACTGTGAAGGAGAAACTGAGCCAGGGGAGACACCCTCCACCCTGTAAGCTCAGGTCGGGAGGCGGCCACACCAGCGCTGGTGGACAGCATCACTTTCCCTGTGTCTCCAGCTACTCTGCTCCTCCTCACCCTTCTTGCCTTAAAAAGGTGATGGAACTTGAATAGGATTAGGCATGAAAGAATTGAAGTAGGGATTCAGGTAGATATTTGTACATTTGAGTTCACAGGCACATGTTCATAGTAGCCAAATATGGAAACAACCCACACACAGTGAATGAGTGTGTAACCTAACTGTGGCAAATACATACAATACATTATTGTAATACAGTGTCTTATAAGCCATAAAAGGGCATGGAATTCTGAAATGCTATAGCATGGATGAACTTTGAACACATTATACTAAGTGAAGTGAACCAGGATAAATATTATATGATTCCACTTGTGTAAAGTACCCAGAATAGGCCAGTTCGTAGAGACAGAGGAACAGTGGTGGTTACCAAAGCTTGGGCCAGGGGGATGAAGAATTACTATTTAGGTGGGCACTGAGTTTCAGCTTGGGATTATGAAAAGGCTCTGGAAATGGTAATGATAATTAAATAACTTTGTGAATGTAGTTAAAGCTGATGAACCATATACTTCAAAATGCTGAACCATATACTTCAAAATGTTCAATATATATATATTTTACTGCAGTAAAAATAATGTCAGGGTCAGGGCATAGGTGCTTCTCTGAACTTTTGGCCTGAGAACTGTAGAAAGGGACCCAGCAAAGCATTCTCTTCCTCTCTCTGCTCATAATTCTCCTGCAGAAGAGCAGCCTGGGAAATCCTGCCCTGAATGCACCCCTTCCCATTGAAGCAGGGGCCTCAGCTCCCTGGAAGGGAATGCAGAAGCCAGGGAGCCTCCCAGGAACTAGACTCTGGACAAAGAAGAGAGGAGGGAAGGGCTGGTGAGCAGTGCTGTGGGTCCGGTCACCACTGAAGGATCACATAGAATGTGCCTAAGAATTTTCACCTGAGACCAAATAGAAAGTATTTGTACCAAACAATGGCTGTACCATGGGACATTAGCTTCTTACACACATGTTCATGTCGCAGGGCCCAGGGGCCAGGTGGGTTCCTGCAGACCTCTCATGTCAGAGGAGCCCTGGACATTGGGTTAGAGGGTGGCTGAGAGACAGTATTGGCCATACCATGCACTATGTGATTCTGATTAGACAGCAGGATCAGGAGTAGAAGATGGCTGAGAGGACATGAGGGTACACAAGGTTTCTGAGACAGGCGCCCACTGGGGAGGCCTCTGTTTCCCTCTAGACACCAAGAGATCACAGAGTTGGGATGAGTCTCAATTCCTGTACTTCCTCAGCAAGCCAATGTGGGTTTGAGGTCATTACCACACCCAGACTCTCTTGTACAACTATGGTATGACCTGTAGAATTCATGCAGATGGGAAGGACCCAGAAGCACAGGCTGGAGGCCACTGCTACCGGCAGAGGCCAGCATTCGATCCTCCTGGAAATGGCTCTGGCTCCATGTCAAGTTCCTGCAAAACCTCACTCCTTGTCCTGTACCTGTCAAGTGTGCCAGGAAGCCCTTGATAAAATTGGAAGTGTTCCAGGAACAATGGGTGGAGCCTTAGGAACTGACTGTGCCTGTGGACAGCTCCTTTTCAGCCCTCCCAGGGGAATAATCTTATCATTCCCATTCCCAGTGTCAAGCTCAGGCTTGACATTGAGCCTACATGAGACACTCTTCTAGAGCCAGCACCCAGTCAGAGAACAAAAAAATCCACACGACACTTAAAGCATTCTGTGCTCACTGGCCAGACAGTGGGGAATGGAGAAGTGGGAGCTGTCCTGAAGTCCTGTGCAGGCTTGGAGGGAAAAGAGACAGTAAGATTAGAGTCAGGCTGACCTGGAGCCATGTGGTGTGAGTTTGGGCATGTTACTTAACCTGTCTTTCCTCTGCTAAGTAGTATAAACATGCTAATTTCATGGGGTCATTCCGAGTGTCGAGTGGGTGAAGGGACATCAAGTACTGAGAACTTGATAAGGTGCAGTAAACAGTCGCATTCCTGTTAATAACGCAAGATGCAGTATTGAGACCCAGGATTGGGTGAATCCTTTGCCTGCTGACCTTTCCTTGAGCAGGAGTTTGGACTAATTGCCACGTGGCCTCTGCTCTAGCAGGTCTATAAGGACCTCTAGTTTTGGAAAGTGGAGGATGGTGCCCCTAAATGATGGCCAATATGAGCAAAGCACAGAAGTGGAGGGAGCATCCTGTGTTAGTGTTCAGTGGTTGTGAAATAGATTGCTACAACATTAGGGCTCAAAATAATATCCGTTCATCACTGCCTGGTTCTGCAAGTGTGCAGCTCAGCAATCTTCACGTGACTGTTTTCCCTCAGAAGAAAACTGATGAGGGTGGCATTCGAGGGAGCCCTACTTGGAAGCACTCTGAGTCCTGCCTCACATCCATTAGTTAGCACTAGCCAGCTCTTGATTATTAGCCCATAAAAGACCTCAGAAATTTAAGGTTTTGAAGCTTAAATGTCCTTTTCAGCACCATGGCCCTAGCCTTTCTCACCCACATCCCTAGCATCCAGCGTTTTTGAGCGCTGTGTGCCTTCTATTTCGATCATGCTTTCAGTTGTGCTGATGAAACCTGTGCAGGCTCCGTTTCCCTTGGCTTGGTGGGATCCTTGTGCAGACCACAGGTCTCTAGATAATTGAAGGGACACAAACCATCTGTAGAAGTCCCTTCCCATCTGGCCTCAAGCCAATCAGAAGGAGGGGAGGGTGCCTGCCTGGAGGTGAGGACTGTGGCTCATGTCACCCCCTGGTGAATCAGATGTGACTGTGGGGATGAAGGGTGAGAGAGGCAATAGGAGTGTCCCTGCAGGCTTGGACCCCTGAGGATAAGCTGACCAGCCTTATGAGGAGGGATATTGTTTGGTTGGTCAGCACAAGCTTCTTAGGAACAGATGGTAATGTCCACCAGGCCCAGCTCAAGAGAGGGCCATAGGGCTATTAAGGGTGATCGTATTCTTCTGGAGGGTGAACAGACTGTCCATGGCTTGATCACATCTGCACAGAAAACCTTCCAGGCCTTTTCTGTTCTAGCAGTAACAGGTAGTCACAACCCCACAGCAAAGTAGAGCACGTGTTCCCCAGGCTGCCCCATGGCAAGGCTGTTAACCTGAGGCCCATGGACTCCAGCTAACTTAGAAGACTATCCAGTGACCAGAGAGAAAGAAAGTATATTTAGAAGAAGTAATTTTTTTGGAGAGCTCAGCCCTTGCTTGGATTTGTATTTGGACCCCAGTACCTTCTAATTCTTGAATCAGGGATGTAACAGTCCATGGCTTATTCTTGTTATAGATTTTGTTAAATCCAAGTCAAGTGGTGGACTCAGATGCCAATCATGGTTCATCTTCTGCTTTTCCCAGTCTAGAGGGCCTGGGCATGCACTAGCCCAAACACTACCCAAGATCTCAAGTTGCCCAGTTGGGCAAGTAATCTGCCTTCTTTTGCCTCTGTTTCCCTCCCCTTGTAGTGGAAATCCAAAATATTCTTTATGCTAAAGATAAACCAGTGCCCACTGACTTTGCTGTCATTTAAGAGACCAAAATGTCATGGAAAAGGAGACAAAGCATCTAGGAGAGAGTATTTCCCAAGTAGGGCATTGTTCTTACCTCCAGCAGTATCTCATGGAGTCTGTTCTCATTCCCAGCAGCCTGCCCAGGCCCCTGAGCGGGAGGGATGGAAAACTCCTCCGCAGCATCGGCCTCCTCCGAGGCAGGGAGCAGCCGCTCCCAGGAGATTGAGGAGCTGGAGCGCTTCATCGACAGCTATGTGCTGGAGTACCAGGTTCAGGGGCTGCTGGTCGACAAGACAGATGCTGATGGCGAGAGCCAGAGGACGCAGTCCCACATCTCCCAGGTGAGTGCTGGCCCACAGCAAGGCTTAGCAAACTCAAAGGGGCTGAAACTGGGAATTTAATTCTGGCCAGCATCTGATCAGCTGGCTCAGGACTGCCAAGCTCTGAATGGTTCCCCATGACACAGCACCTGGAATCACGTAGAACAGACTTTGAGGTTCTGGCAGAAAGCTCCCAACAGCTATATATGTCTGACTTCTGGAACTCACTTCTCATGGACGGCTGAGGGCCAACCAGACTCATGAGCCTTTGAACAAATTTTTATTGAATACCTGGTATGTGCCTGGCAGTGTCTTTCCACAATCTTTCATTCTTAAGATCTGGAGATCATAGTTTATCCATAATGCATGCCACCTGAGAGCTGTAACTTAGGCATATTTTCTGACTTCAAATATAGACAGTTGTTAGAAGCTTAAGAAATGATTCTTCTGGGCTGCTCCCCCAGGGATCTGGGTACCAATGTACTTAGATGCATGTGGTGTTCTGACCAGAATCTCAGGCTATCTTCTCCTTCTTGGGTTGATTGTGGCAGCTCTGGCTTTGGTTGGGAGGTAGCCTTATTTGAAAAATTGAAGGCTGAATTTTGGAAACCCTGTATTCTCCTGAATAAAATATCAATGTGGGGGTCACGTGTGTCTTTGCCTGATATCATAAATGTGCATTAGATACACTCAAGAATTCATCCCAGATTTGCTCCTAACTGCCCATATGCCTTGAGCAAAGCCCCCAGTTTCTTTGAAGCCAAGTTTTCTTTTCTGGAAAGTGAGGATTGTCCTGCTGTTCAGAAATATGGGAAGGGAAGACAGAGCATGACGCGCAGAAGACACATATAGGCAGGTGCTGCCTGCACAGGGAAGCACAAGGGCCTCCCCTCCTGTCCAAACTCAGTGTCCCAGTGTGCACCTCTTGTATGTGCCCCACCCCATACGTTGGACTCCTATGACAAGGAGAGAGAGAGCTACTTGGGAGCCCTGCTATGGAGAAAAGCTGAATATAGCCATCTGCTCCCTGTCTTAGCGGAAGAAAACCCAATCCTTTTCCTGTTTCAAAAGCCAGAACAGCCCTGTGGCTTTCCTATAACTCAAACCAGGAGTCAGACTGGGAGCAGAGGCAGAAAATAACCCTGTGGAAAAGGCAGAAGTGGAGTGATGCTTTCCTGTGTGTCCTTGAAGTCCTAAAATCTGTGTATAAACCTGTAATATGTTCATCACCTCATCCATGGTAGTATATTGAGTATCCCTTCCATTCTAGGCACTGCTTTAGGACTCAGGATCTAGGACTAAACAAAACTGCAAATAGCTCTACCCTCTTGGAACTTACATTCTAGTGCAGGGGATTCGAATCTTGCATCATAAAGAGAAACATAAAGCAAAATGGAAAGGGGCAGCCATGAGCATGGGTTTAGTGGGGCGGGTTTGCAGTTTTAAATCGAGTAGTCAGGGATGAAGTCACTGAAAGATGGAAAAGGGTAAGCCATGTACATATTGGGGGGAACGCAATCTGGAGATAGAGATGAGCATGTGCCAAGGATTGGGCTGGGAGAGGAGTCCAGATGCCCAGCCAGGAAGTCAGAATGCTAAAGCAGAGGAGAGGGAGGCTGGGTAGTGAGGCAGAGACAGAATGGGGTTGTGTAGGCAGGAGGTGCAGGGCTGAGCTCTAGGGTCCCCCAATCCCTGGAAGGAAGGGATGTGCAGAAGAGGCATCCAGAGAACCCAGGAAGGCTGGAGGAAAACCAGGCCAGCACAGAGTGCGGGCAGCCTTTGGGAAGCAAGTGTTCGGGATGTGGGGAGAGGGTGGGTTGCCTTGGATGCTGTTGCTGGGCCATGTAAGAGAGCCGAGAATAAGCACTGAGCAGTGGGGCCGTGGTGGCAGTGACCTGAGAGGCTTCAGTTGAGTGGTACAAGTGGAAGCCAGCTGTGGTTGAGTCAAGGACCAGAGGAATTGGTTGGAGACCAGACCTATAACCACTACCCACTAGAGGAGTTCAGTTGTAAAACAGGAAGAGATGAGGTGGTTTTGGGGAAGTGAGATCAAGGCGGACATTAACAGTATGTTCTTGGGAATGCTCCAAGGGAGAAGAGCAATGGCCTTCTCTGTGTCCCTGAGCAGTCATCTAGAATAACACCTGTGGCACCTTTGTGGTTTTCCTCCACTACTTTCAGCCATGAAAGTGCAGGTGCAGAGTTACAAAGGTGACCTTCACCAGGGCTGAACTTTCTCCAGGAGGGAAAGGCTGAGGGAGTATAAAGATGGTGAGGTAGCTGGATACCCAGCCAGACGAGGAGGGGAGTGGACACCAGAGGCAGGTAGTGGAAGCTGAAGGGTACTAGGGTCAGAGGATTAGCAGTCCTAGTGAGCTAAAGAGAGGACATGAGTTGGAAAGCTAGGAAGGGTGTGCAGGAGGGGAGCAGGAGAATGTGCAGGAGCTGGTGAGGGAGGGACTGGTGGGAGCACAGGAGTGTGTTGAAAGGTGAGAGCCAGCAGGAGCGGGGGATGTGGGACCAAGGCAGGATATTGGAACCATCTCTTGAATTTCCACATTCCCAGGAAAGGACCAAAGGGTGATAGGGGAGGTGGCTGTGATCCAGGAGTAATGAAGGTGTAAGGTAGTAGGTGGGTGAGCTGATGAGCTGCAAGTGAGGAGAGTACCAGGATGTTGGCTGAGGGTGTGCTGCTTCATTTGTGTGAATTCGTTTCTTGATTTAAACTGCTGTGCTGTACAGTTAGCAGTATCATGACCTGGAATAGAAGGGGGAGGCAGGAAGGATGGGTTGGAAAATTTCCAAGGAAAATCAATGTCTTTGGTTAGAGAGGGTGGAAAGGGCAGAAACTAAAGAGAGCCGTGATCGACTCGTGTGCAGATGCCCAGATCTGGGAGGGAGGCAAGTCAGGACTCCAGAGCAGCCTCTAAACAGACATTTGTTGGGGAAGAGGAGGCTGCTGGTTATAACTTTCAGAAACATTCCTTAAACTTCATTCATGCTGCTAAATTCTTTGGAAGAAGGCAGACACTTGGCAGAACCGTAGATCGGCCTGTGTACTACTAGAAGAGGAGGGGCTTTTCCATCCTGCTCCTCTAGGCCCCTTCCTCCCCCACGCCCATACCCACAGTGTGCCTAGGGACAGACTCAGAAGAGCCACAGATGTGGCCAGCTCTACCCAGGCCAGAGTTAGACATGTCTGCCTAAGATATTTTTATAAAAAAGCAATCTCTACTGACACAACTTTGTGGGAAAGAGTTCTACCAAAGCACTTTGCTTGTTTTTATTTAATCTAATGACTTTTAAATGAAAGCCAAAAAAAAAAAAAACCACTCAAAGAATGTCCCTGTCTGCCTGTCTGTGGTGGTGTTTTGATGTTTCTGGGAGTGAAAAATTGTTAAGAATCTGGTAAACCTTGAGAAGACTTGAGGCAGTGGAGTGGAATGTTGCTCTTCAGTTCGTGAGGTTACTTTTTAGCATCTGTGAGATGACAGTGGACACTCAGGAAGAAAATATCTCATGACACTTTCATAGTTGTGTTCCCATCTCTGCCCCCAGAGACAGCTAGAAAGTAAAGGTGAGCCAAGTGTGGTAACACACACCTGTAATCCTCATACTAGGCAGGAGAATCCCCAGGAGTTTGAGGCCAGCCTGAGCTGACAGTAGGACACTGTCTCAAAAAGAGGAGGAACAAGAAAGGGGAGGAGGAGGAGGAGGAGAAGGGGAAGGAGAAGGAGGAGGAAGGGAGGGAGGATGGAAGGCAAAAGAAAGGAAGGAAGAAAAAGAAAGAAAGTAAAGATGGATGGATTTGTGAATGGTGGATGGATAGAAGGATAGGGCTTCTCTTTCCTTAGATGAGTATCCATTTTTATTAATACTATATTAAAAATTTCCTAATATCATATTTAAAAGAACCAAATTTTAAGAGTACCTACTGTCCAGTGGATTCCAAGTTAATAAAGTCACATCCTGAAAGTTGTCTTCACTCTGTCTTTGGGATGGAAATTCTAGCTCTGTATGCTGGAGGAAAACTGAGGCTCAGAGATGGAAAATTCCCAAATCATGTACGTGGTTGTGGCCCAGCTGGCCCCAGAACCCTACCCCTACCTCAGCTACTTGTACCTTCCTGGGGACTATGAGCTGTGACTGATGGGAGGTTAGGTAGTTAATATATTTCTTCATATAAGAAGAGAATTAGGACTCTGCATCTTTTTGGCCAGTAATCCTTTATGGAAGTGATTGGGATGTTGTGATGGGGAAAGTTTGGCACTTCTGATGTGAGTAGATGACCTTATAAATCATCAGGAGGCTTTAGAGATGTTTGCAACAGGCTACACATATTATTAGGAACTTTGAAGAGTTTCAGTGCACGATCCCTGCACCAGAGATTCCACTGATTGGAGGGTAGGGGGCTGACATTTTGGTAAGCCTCCCGTGACGCTGAGGTACACTCATGCTGACCTCCAGAGGCCAGCTCCCAGGGCTTCGTTCTCTGGGAAAGACAGGATGTAGGGACCTGGTGAAAGGCACCTACATTTTCTGGAGATGTAGTTTCCAATCTGTTCTTCTTAACAGACCAAATTAAGAACCCCCAAGGATGAAGATCGCTTCTTGCAGCCCTTTTTGAGGCTGTTGGGCACTTGGAAACTCTGGGAACTCTAACGGTCTTTTGAAGAGAAGTGTTGGCCATGAGAGCATTCACATTGGCTGGCATGTCTAACGTGGTTTTCCTTCTGATTCCCTTCATGTTTCTCCCTCCCTTGTGCCTTCCCCATTAACTGTTTACCATTCTCTCATCCCTTATCCTTTTCTGCATTTCCTTCTGCCCTGTTACCCATTTTCCCTGCTGCCTTTGCTTGTAAGAGGAAGTGTTCAATGGCAGATGACCCATGAAAGGCTTAACAGAGGAAGTGAGTTTGCAGGAGCACCCTGTGCTGACCAGATTCATTATGTACTTCTGCCTTATTTAAATTTTTTATTTTTAATTATATAAGTACTATATGCATACATTTGCAGCATAC